TATATATATATATATATATATATATATATATATATAAAAGTAAAAACACTGATTTTTGCCCTCAAAATGTGCTTCACTCTACGAAACCTCCAAAGGATCGACATTTACATTAGCAATATTATGACCACGTTTTGCATCTTATGTCACCAAAATCTTTAGCCACCTTGCAAATGTTATAAGACTAAATCCATATTAACAGAATAGTTGTCATGCTGTGCCACTGCCACAAACGAGCGGTGTAGACTTAATAAATACCGTAATAACATGCACACAGAGTAAGGAGTGTGAGGTGATAAAAAATACTGAATGCAGAAGAAATGAATCGGAAAAACACTGACTGGAATAACAGATGGGAACAGAAACAATTATACATTCAGAAAGATATAAGTCATCATAAATACTTAACACTGCGGTATCTCAGAAGAACAGGGAAGGACAAACGCTGCAATAAGTTTTAGCCCAAAAAAAAAGGATGGAGGCCAAGAAATATTAAATAAAAGCAACTGTAATTACCAGTTTATGGCGCTTTAAAAAGTTTTGATACTTGAATGTCTTCAAGAATTGAAAAAATCACTAACTACTCACTAACTGTGATACTGCCGTTCCATATTGATCATAGTGAGCCGTAATTCAATGGCGCTGCTTAAAACAAATCCCTCCCACTGGCAAATGGCCAAAATCTGGTCTTTTTTTTAGCATAATACTCTTCCATTGTTTATTTATCACATGAATTTTTTCATGTAGTAGGCAGAGGGTTGCAAGCAAGCCGGAAGCAGAAAATTTTCGGCCTTTTGAACGCATATAAATCATGCTTTTCAAAAGGCCAGTCCAAAATGCCAACGCTGAAAATGTTAAATTGTTACACTTTATCATGTCCACTATGAAATGTTTTATTTAATTTTTTTTCTTTTTTATACACAGATTTCTTGACGCTCTTTTATTTGTGCTTCATAATTTTTGAAAAAAATCCGTGTAATTCTTATTCAAAAAAATTTTTTGCAGCAATCAGTAAGTTAAGCTTTTACTTCCTTGCTCTTTGAGCAGTTATACAGAGTCATCCTACGAATGTTTTCGTTCTGTAACTAACAATTAGCAGATTTGCGGCTGGAAATCTGAAGGGTCCAGAAATACATCCGCATACAATTTTCAAGCCCAGCTTCATTTCGTAGCTAATTTCCAGACAGCTCAAAGCGCATGTCCCAATCACAAACTGTCCTGCAGATACGAATCTCTTTTTCGTGATAACCAAAAAAATTGACAGGGAACTCTCAGCAAAAACTTCTCTCCGACAAATCCCTCCTCCCTTATTTTACCCTCCAGTTCCTTCTTCCATTCTAATTCCGCATCACCCACCTCTGCGTAATGCTGCTTTCTGTGCACTGAGTTGCGAGTAATTAGACCTAAAAGCACTCCCAATCTAAAGCTAAAGATCGGTCACTAAATATTTTGCGGAAAAACAGAAAAAACGCACTAAACTAACTCCCTAAGTGCTGCTTTTACACGCTCCCAAATTTAGCCGATGTTAATTGACTAAGTTTTTTAATGACCCAACAATATGGCCCTGTCACCTCATTGAAACTGACATCCAGTGTCAAACGTCGGCAGGAACGGCTTCAAAACTCTAAATTCAATAGAAACAATTAAACAATTGAGTGTAACGACAGAAGCCTGGAAGTGAGCGACAGAAAGCTTTATCGAGTAAATTTTTTAAAATACATTATACAACTGCATGTTGAAGAAATAGCTATAGAATATCACTTCTGGCTAACTAATAAAAGTTTCCTAACACTCAAAAAAAAGCCAGCATTCACAGTTAATGAGCCTCGTCATATATCACCAGTTGCTTATGCCCTTTAAATCTTGTTCTGCAGCTCCCGCCATAAAAAAGTTCGCAAAATACCCCCTACCGACTGACAATTTTTGAAATTTTATCAGTTTCAACGCTTAGTACTAAAAACTCCAAGAACCCTCTGAAAAAGTTTGAAATAACGCTACTATTAATCACAATTATTAAGTCCTATGCGCTAAAAGCAAAAGCAGGAGCCAGCAAAACGCTTTTCATTTTCTTTCGTCCCTACAACAGAAGTGGAATCGAAACCATCCAATTGAAAGTTTGAAATTTCTCTTGAAGAGTTGGGTTTTTTCCCCAAACTATCTTTATAATATTCATAAAATGATAGCACTTTATAATAATCCTTCCCTCTCGTATTTGAATCTAAAAAGGCCTCAATCTTTGAAACAAGGAGACCTGAGCGAAGCTGCAACAGATGTATGTCAGGCAGGTGAGTCAAATGACTTAAAGAAATAAAACGACAAAAAAATAAAGTACCCTACCAAATAAGGACTGTGGGTAGAACGCAAAAGAAAGTTCGCAACTATTGGATGTAGTTGATACTCGTACGAAGTACCGCTCTCATTCATCACTTTTCGCTCCTCAATCATAGACCTCTGTGCAAGCTTTTCTAACATTTGCTGTGTTTCATAAACACTGTCTTTCGATCCAGGGACATCAACTGGGGCAATCAAATTAATTACCTGAAAAAGCCTTTCAAAATAATAGCAGTGGTTCAGAACCTTACAAAAACAAAACTTAAAAAAATACCTGGAGTGGGATCCAAACACCCGCAGGAAAAGCTCCTAAGTTGCACAAAACATCCTTATGGCCGCTTGATAACTGGAAAAATTAAGTAGGATAAGAAAGCCGCTGCTGTATAAAATTAATGGCCACAATTTCTGTGTTAAAATATTATACTACACCTAACAAGTTGCGGCGACGAAAATAAAACAGAAGTAGAACATGGGTCCACTTAAAAAATGTAGCAAAAGAAACAGTGTAAATTTAGCAACAAATGAAGTATATCAGACACACCAAATTAAACGAGTGACGAAGAGCAAACTCCAAATTAGGATATCGGTAGCATGTAATACAGTCAAGTGTACTCAATGGTGCTGTTTCTAACTTAGAGCATAACCACTCCATCCTAAAAATCTAAAAATTAGAACAGTAACTAGGAAGAAAAACTATTCAATATCTACGGCTTCTAACCTGTCGGGGTCGTTTCTTGACAGAACCGTTATTATGTTAACTATAGCTGGAAGACCTTTTGTGTGAAAATAAAGTTGTTTGCAAAAGTCTTCTTTAAATTGAAGAACTCCGGAGGAAAAACAAGCGGAAGATACAAAACTGGATAGCTCTGCTAGAGTGAATCCACTTGGAGACATAGGAAACGGCACCACTTTTCCTTTGGCTGCTTGAAAAATATCGGCATTACGGCTTGTAACAAGAATACGACACTGCAAGCTACTTGATACCATTAAATTGCGTATAGCAAGATTGTAAAATTTACTGTATTCTAACTGCTTCCATCACGATATAGTAGTCGAAAAACGTCGATGACCGACAGTTTTGATTTTTTTTTTTT